CACAAACGTCAATATTTATACTTCATTAATGTATAATTATCACAACTTTCATTGATGTATAATTATTGCAACAATATTTAAGTTTTATTACATGCATTATATATTCATTCATCTCTGATTTTTTTAATATATAAATAACAATTTATGATAGAACGCACTTTACTATTTCTTTAAATTATGTGAAAATGTGTGTGTCAAACCAATACTAGTAATAATAAAAAATTAAGTCTTAAAAATATAAAAGACTCATAACTAATATGTGGTGTTGTGAATAGTATTGTCACAAGTATTTTAATAAAAGAAAATGTATTAGGTTGCATATTCTATAATTAGAGTTGTGTTATCTAATTCACACAAATTTACTCAAATTAACAAAAATTTACTCAAAGACTAGTAATCTATCTTTAGATTTTGTTTTTCCAACTCATTTAATCCAATTAAAAGTCATATCATTAAACAACTTTAAATCCTATAAATTGGCCTTGTTCTATCTCAAGTTTTTTATTAATTATTTTTTATTCTCATAAACAAAGTATAATTATTTAATAGAAATTCTCTCTTAAATTCATTCTTAATTATTTTATATTAAACATGGAGTATGATAATTCAACTTTCAATGGAAACGCTAATGCAGTTTTAAATGTAAACGATGATGCAACAAAAATATATGATGACTCGAGCATTGAAGATCATGTTCCTCTTTTGCAGAAGGTGATTCTATGATGTTTAAAATGTTCAATTATTATATATAATATACGATACATGATATATTAATTAAAATTATAACTATGCAAAATGGTTGTGTTTATTGTTGAATATAGTTAGTAGCAGAGGTGGTGGGAACATTCTTCTTAATATTGATTGGATGTGGTTGCGTAGTTACAAATCTTAACAATGATAATGTAGTGACACTTCCTGGAATTGCATTTGTCTGGGGATTTTGCGTAATGACATTGGTATACTCTCTTGGTCATATCTCTGGTGCTCATTTTAATCCTGCTGTCACAATTGCTCATGCGTCAACCAAAAGATTTCCATTGTCACAGGTGAATTAGCAAACAAAGTCTCATATAAGAGAGTACTTTTTTGTAAAAAAAATGATTATTAATTTTAATTTGATTTTGATGTGCAGGTACCACCATATATAATTGCTCAATTTATTGGATCACTACTTGCAAGTGGAGCTCTTAAACTTATATTTAGTGGCAAAGAAAATCAGTTTGTGGGAACACTTCCCGCCGGTTCTAACCTCCAAGCTTTTGTGATTGAATTTATAATTACTTTCTACCTTATGTTCATCATCTCTGGAGTTGCCACAGATGACAGAGCGGTAATATTTTTTTAAGAAAATATTGTTCGATAATAATAATTATGATATTAAAATTTAAAATGTTTAAATTAGTAGTTGGTCTATGAAAATCTATCATTTTTGGTTTAAATTTTGTAATTTTGTTTATTTTTGTAGATCGGTGAATTGGCTGGACTTGCAGTTGGATCTACAATTATTCTAAATGTGTTGTTTGCCGGGTATTAAGCTTAAGATCTTACTAAATGTTATAAATCATTAAGTGCAACAAATATAGAATATGTTTAAATAAGATTTATATCTTACATGTTTTTATGAGAAATGCTAAACTTTGTGATTCAAAATATATTTGACAGACCAATCACAGGAGCATCAATGAATCCAGTAAGAAGTTTAGGTCCAGCTATTGTGCACCACGAATATAGAGGAATATGGGCTTATGTGTTTGCACCAATTCTAGGAGCTTTGGCTGGTACATGGGCGTATACTTTTATCAGAATCACAAACAAACCAGTACGTGAACTCACAAAGAGTGGTTCATTCCTTAAAGATTCGAGATGCAAATGAACACATTGATTATAAAAAAAAATTACAATGTATCAATTAATTAATGACCTCATACAACTAAAGGGGAAATAAAATCCTCGCAAGTTTGGGTCTTCATGTAGACAACTTCACATGGTTGGAAGACATTCCTAGAGAAATTAGGGATCCTTTCTATAGAAACAAGCTAGACTTTTCTGAGTCTAGATTTGTTAATTTTTAAAAGCATGTTCCTTATTCTTGGTTTCTCTAGAGATGTTCCTTTGTAAAATTGTTTTCCTTTAATATATTTGTGGATGCATTTGCATCCTTTACTTTAAAAAAAAGTTTAATTTCTTCTTGTTTTTTCTTTAATAATGATATTTTTTCTCAAATATATATATATATATATATATATATATATATATATATATATATATATATATATATATATATATATATATATATATATATATATATATATATATATATATATATATATATATATATATATATATATATATATATATATATATATATATATACACTATCAAACTAAAGATAAGACATATGCAATGATAGATAAAGAGAATAAAGATTGTCGCACTATGCCACCTCTTAACATCCCAATAAACAAACACCATAAAAATAAAGAAACATCAAAGAAATCAAATAAGTATTACTTTATGGAAAATTAAGACACAATAATATACCAATACGCAATGAATATAAAATTTTCCAAGATTTGTAGTAACCTTGTTGATCAACAATAAATATAAGACGACAAATCGAACAAATAAAGGCATAAAAGAATACTGATATTTTTAACGTGGAAATCCCTCAATATGAGATTAAAAACCATGAGTCGTATAGACCAAAGAAATAACTCCACTATAATCAATTAAGGGTACAAGAAAGTTTTAAAGTGATTCACAAACTAGTGCTAACAACAACAAATTACAAAGCAAACTACCTTACAAATAAGAATAAAAAAGATACAAAATTTCCCAAATCTGTAGCTTCAATGTAAAGCAAATAACTCTCACCTCATATTTTGTTTTAAAATTCCGAACAAGAATGAGTTTCTCTCCTCTTTTCTCTCTTTTGAATCCTTATTTTCTCTCTATATCTCTCAACCCTAAATTGATCCTCTCCATTTAAATAAGTGAGATAAATGGGCTTATCATATTTGGATCTTTCTCCACGTAAAAAGGGAGCTAAAACCCAACAAATATCCCCCTCAACTATGTGGAGGAAATCCCCAAATCGACGATATCATAATAAGCTTCAAAATTTTCAATAGTTTACCCTATGGCCTTAGTGTATATCTTAAAAATAGTAAGCAGTTTTAAAGTTTCAGACTCTCATAAACTCGCATTCACTATTACAGGTTAGTTTAAACCTTCATATAGAAATTAATATCAAAGAGCTTGGGGTAATTGTTTCAATTATACATGTGGTTCTTGTTGCTCGATTTCGTCGCTTAGTGTCATAATAACTTCAAAGCTTTGGTAAAAGGAAATGATACTTTTACATATTGCTTTCAGGATTACCGACTGTCAGGCTGCTTCCACGTGTCTTGCGTTGAGCGGTCGTAGGGGCGGCTAACCAGGCTCTGATACCATTTGTAACGCCCCATATTACTTTTTAGGATTACCGACTGACCCCACAAACCAACACGGGTCTTTTCAGCATGCTTTGTCCTCAATCACACGCTTTCCGGGAAACTTCCCAGAAGGTCACCCATCCCAGAATTGCTCCAAGTCAAGCACGCTTAACTGTGGAGTTCTTATGAACGGGCTACCGAAAAGAAGATGCATCTTGTTGGTATAGGTAGTACCAATTAATCCTTATAAGCCTTCATTCAACCATGCAGTCCCATACCTGCATAGCCTCAGGATCCCTCTCATTCGGATGTGAATTCGGTTTTCCCCTAGAAGCTGCTAGGAGTGTCTCATTGTCATGCCTCATGACACCGACAACCACTCCCTCGCCCACGGGTGTTACATGTAACCACCGTCCTCTTTCACCTCAGGTGTTACATGCCCACCAACTTCCGCTTGGTTCGTCCCCGAACCACATCGTACTGGGAGAGGTATGGCTCTGATACCATTTGTAACGCCCCATATTACTTTTAGGATTACCGACTGACCCCACAAACCAACACGGGTCTTTTCAGCATGCTTTGTCCTCAATCACACGCTTTCCGGGAAACTTCCCAGAAGGTCACCCATCCCAGAATTGCTCCAAGTCAAGCACGCTTAACTGTGGAGTTCTTATGAACGGGCTACCGAAAATAAGATGCATCTTCTTTTCGGTAGCTCGTTCAAAAGAACTTCACAGTTAAGCGTGCTTGACATGGAGCAATTTTGGGATGGGTGACCTTCTGGGAAGTTTCCTGGAAAGCGTGTGATTGAGGACAAAGCATGCTGAAAAGACCCGTGTTAGTTTGTGGGGTCAGTCGGTAATCCTGAAAGCAATATGGGGCGTTACACTTCCAACCCTTCGGTTTTAAGGTTCTCATATGCACTTTCTTTGACACAAGCATCAATATTTATGTTTCATTAATGTATAATTTTAACAACTTTCATTGATGTATAATTATTGCAACAATATTTAAGTTTTATTACATGTATTATATATTCATTTATCTCTGATTTTTTTTAGTTTTCATGTATAAATGATAATTTATGATACACTTTACTATTTCTTTAAATTATGTGTAAATGTGTGTGCCAAACCAATATTCGTGCGTTCACACAGATATCTTACTAGTACTAATAAAAAATTAAGTCTTAAAAATATAAAAGACTCACAACTAATATGTGGTGTTGTGAATAGTATTGTCACAAGTATTTTAATAAAAGAAAATGTATTAGGTTGCATATTCTATAATTAGAGTTGTGGTATCTAATTCACACAAATTTACTCAAATTAACAAAAATTTACTCAAAGACTAGTAATCTATCTTTAGATTTTATTTTTCCAACTCATTTAATCAAATTAAAAGCTTATACGCTGTCAGCCATATCATTAAACAACTTTAAATCCTATAAATTGGTCTTGTTCTATCTCAAGTTTTTTATTCATCATTTTTTATTTTCATAAACAAAGTATAATTATTTAATATAAGTTCTCTCTTAAATTCATTCTTAATTAGTTTCTATTAAACATGGAGTATGATAATTCAACTTTCAATGGAAACGCTAATGCAGTTTTAAATGTAAACGATGATGCAACAAAAATATATGATGACTCAAGCATTGAAGATCATGTTCCTCTTTTGCAGAAGGTGATTCTATGATGTTTAAAATGTTCAATTGTTATATATAATATACGATACATGATATATTAATTAAAATTATAACTATGCAAAATGGTTGTGTTTATTGTTGAATATAGTTAGTAGCAGAGGTGGTGGGAACATTCTTCTTAATATTGATTGGATGTGGTTCCGTAGTTACAAATCTTAACAATGATAATGTAGTGACACTTCCTGGAATTGCATTTGTCTGGGGATTTTGCGTTATGACATTGGTATACTCTCTTGGTCATATCTCTGGTGCTCATTTTAATCCTGCTGTCACAATTGCTCACGCGTCAACCAAAAGATTTCCATTGTCACAGGTAAATTAGCAAACAAAGTCTCATATAAGAGAGTACTTTTTTGTAAAAAAAAAAAGTTATTAATTTTAATTTGATTTTGATGTGCAGGTACCACCATATATAATTGCTCAATTTATTGGATCACTACTTGCAAGTGGAGCTCTCAAACTTATATTTAGTGGCAAAGAAAATCAGTTTGTGGGAACACTTCCCGCCGGTTCTAACCTCCAAGCTTTTGTGATTGAATTTATAATTACTTTCTACCTTATGTTCATCATCTCTGGAGTTGCCACAGATGACAGAGCGGTAATATTTTTTTAAGAAAATATTGTTCAATAATAATAATTATGATATTAAAATTTAAAATGTTTAAATTAGCAGTTGGTCTATGAAAATCTATCATTTTTGGCTTAAATTTTGTAATTTTGTTTATTTTTGTAGATCGGTGAATTGGCTGGACTTGCAGTTGGATCTACAATTATTCTAAATGTGTTGTTTGCCGGGTATTAAGCTTAAGATCTTACTAAATGTTATAACTCATTAAGTGCAGCAAATATAGAATATGTTTAAATAAGATTTATATCTTACATGTTTTTATGAAAAATGCTAAACTTTGTGATTCAAAATATATTTGACAGACCAATCACAGGAGCATCAATGAATCCAGTAAGAAGTTTAGGTCCAGCTATTGTGCACCACGAATATAGAGGAATATGGGCTTATGTGTTTGCACCAATTCTAGGAGCTTTGGCTGGTACATGGGCGTATACTTTTATTAGAATCACAAACAAACCAGTACGTGAACTCACAAAGAGTGGTTCATTCCTTAAAGATTCGAGATGCAAATGAACACATTGATTATATAAAAAAAATTACAATGTATCAATTAATTAATGACCTCATACAACTAAAGGGGAAATGAAATCCTGGCAAATTTGGGTCTTCATGTAGACAACTTCACATGGTTGGAAGACATTCCTAGAGAAATACGGATTCTGTAGAAATAATCTAGACTTTTCTGAGTTTAGATTTGTTAATTTTTAGGATCAAGTTCCTTGTTCTTGGTTTCTCTAGAGATGTTCCTTTGTAAAATGGTTTTCCTTTAATATATCTTGGGATGCATTTGCATCCTTTACTTTAAAAAAAGTTTAATTTCTTCTTGTTTTTTCTTCAATAATGATATTTTTTTTCTCAAATATATATATATATATATATATATATATATATATATATATATATATATATATATATATATATATATATATATATATATATATATATATATATATATATATATATATATATATATATATATATATATATATATATATATATATATATATATATATATATATATATATATATATATATATATATATATATATATATATATATATATATATATATAAAAGTACTATCAAACTAAAGATAAGACATGCAATGATAGATAAAGAGAATAAATATTGTCACACTATGCCACCTCCTAACATCCCAACAAACAAACACCATAAAAATAAAGAAACATCAAAGAAATCAAATAAGTATTACTTTATGGGAAAGTAAGACACAATAATAGACCAATACGCAATGAATATAAAATTTTTCAGATTTGTAGGAACTTTGTTGATCAACAATAAATATAAGACGACAAATCAAACAAATAAAGACATAAAAGAATACTGATATTTTTAACGTGGAAATGCCTCAATATGAGAGTAAAAATCATGAGTCGTATAGACCAAAGAAATAACTCCACTATAATCAATTAAGGGTACAAGAAAGTTTTAAAGTGATTCACAAACTAGTGCTAACAACCGCAAATCACAAAGCAAACTAACTTACAAATAAGAATAAAAAAGCTAAAAGATTTCTCAACTCTGTAGCTTCAATGCAAAGCAAATAACTCTCACCTCAGATTTTGTTTTAAAATTCCGAACAAGAATGAGTTTCTCTCCTCTTTTCTCTCTTTTGAATCCTTATTTTCTCTCTATATCTCTCAACCCTAAATTGATCCTCTCCATTTAAATAAGTGAGATAAATGGGCTTATCATATATGGGTCTTTCTCCACATAGGAAGGAAGCTCAAACCCAACAAATCTCCCCCTCACAACTATGGGGAGGAAATCCCCAAATTGGCGATATCATAATAAACTTCATTTTTCAATAATTTACCCTATGGCCTTTGTGTATATTTTAAAAATAGTAAGTAGTTTTAAAGTTTCAGACTCTCATAAACTCGCATTCACTATTACAGGTTAGTTTAAACCTTTATATGGAAATTAATATCAAAGAGCTTGGGGTAATTGTTTCAATTATACATGTGGTTCTTGTTGCTCGATTTCATCGCTTAGTGTCATATTAACTTCAAAGCTTTGGTAAAAGGAAATGATACTTTTGTCCAATACTTCTTCATAAACTTTTAGTTCAGTGTTTTCTTTATCATTTTTAGAACCACATATCTAACATGCTTCCAACCCTTCGGTTTGAAGATTCTCATATGCATTTTCTTTGACACAAGCATCAATATTTATGTTTCATTAATGTATAATTATCACATCTTTCATTGATGTATAATTATTGCAACAATATTTAAGTTTTATTACATGTATTATATGGAAATTTTACCTCATACCCCTACAATTATACTCATACCTCTACACTAAAAAAAATTTGGACCAAAATACCCTCTTATAAAAAGTTATAATTTTTTCGTTTGTTTATCGGAAGACTTTAAGTATGTCTTCCGGTTCATATTTTTTTCTTTGTTCACCGGAAGTCTTTTTGCAATTATTCCGGTTTATATTTTTTTTGTTTGTTCACCAGAAGTCTTTTTGCAAGTCTTCCGGTTCACATTTTTTTTCGTTTGTTCACCGAAAGACTTGCAAAAAGTCTTCCGATTCATGTTTTTTTTTCGTTTGTTCACTGAAAGACTTGCAAAAAGTCTTCCGATTCATGTTTTTTTTTCGTTTGTTCACCGAAAGACTTGCATGTCTTTTTGCAAGTCTTTTTGCATGTCTTTTTGCAAGTCTTCCGGTGAACAAACAAAAAAAAATGTAAACCGGAAGACTTGCAAAAAGACTTCCGGTGAACAAAGAAAAAAAATATGAACCGGAAGACATACTTAAAGTCTTTCGTTAAACAAACGAAAAAATTATAACATTTTATACGAGGATATTTTGGTCCAAAAAATTTTAGTGTAGGGGTATGGGTATAATTGTAGGGGTATGAGGTAAAATTTCCGTATTATATATTCATTTATCTCTGTTTTTTTAGTTTTAATGTATAAATGATAATTCATGATACTAATAATGTGTAAATGATAATTTATGATACTAATAATTTATGATACTAATTTATGTGTAAATGTGTAAATGTGTGTGCCAAACCAATATTCATGCGTTCACACAGATATCTTACTAGTACTAATAAAAAATGGGTCATGCTAACCAGTGCCCTCAGGGCACTAGTTAAGAATTCCAAATAAGGAAAATATGTTATATTTAGTTCACTCAATACACACAATATTCTTTAAAAAGTCTGATTATTTCTCTTTTCAGGGTATTGAATACACATATATTTAGAAAAAAAAAGTATTTTTAATCTCTTAAATAATGCCCAACTTACCATTTTAATCTCTTAACCAATGCCCTGAGGACACTCGTTAGCATTTCCCATAAAAAATAAGTCTTAAAAATATAAAAGACTCACAACTAATATGTGGTGTTGTGAATAGTATTGTCACAAGTATTTTAATAAAAGAAAATGTATTAGGTTGCGTATTCTATAATTAGAGTTGTGTTATTTAATTCACACAAATTTACTCAAATTAACAAAAATTTACTCAAAGACTAGTAATCTATCTTTAGATTTTGTTTTGCCAACTCATTTAATCAAATTAAAAGCTTATATGCTGTCAACTATATCATTAAACAACTTTAAATCCTTTAAATTGGCCTTGTTCTATCTCAAGTTTTTTATTCATTTTTTTATTCTCATAAACAAAGTATAATTATTTAATAGAAGTTCTCTCTTAAATTCATTCTTAATTATTTTCTATTAAACATGGAGTATGATAATTCAACTTTCAATGGAAACGCTAATGCAGTTTTAAATGTAAATGATGATGCAACAAAAATGTATGATGACTCAAGCATTAAAGATCATGTTCCTCTTTTGCAGAAGGTGATTCTATGATGTTTAAAATGTTCAATTGTTATATATAATATATGATATATGAATTAAAATTATGACTATGCAAACTGGTAGCAAATGGGCTGAAGAAAACATAGTGGAAGTGGTCCAAGATGTTGCAACGGGAAGGCCCAAGAGAAAAGTCCACATGCCAAAGTATCTAGAAAATTTCATCACAGGAGAATCAACAAATTCAGTTAGGAGGAAATGAGCTGGCAGCTTATTAGTGGCTCACCTAAATTTTGCAGAAATATTCTCTAGATCTTCCTTATTTTGTATTCTGTTATTTCCATCATTAACTAGTCTATATAATGGCATGTATGCAATGAATGAAAGGAAGCATATTTATCCAAATTCTCTTTCTCTCTATTGTTTCTGGAGGCCCCTAGTTCCTCGAACTCTAGGACTTATCACTACCCCTAACAAATTTGGTGCTTTCATTGAACCCATCCATGGCGGACGACATTTGATCGAAAGCTATCGATGATGCTATCTCCCGTTTAACCACCAATCAAACCGCTCTGACCAAATCACAAACACTTCTTGCTTCCAAAATCGATGACATTCTCAGTAAACTCTCGTCCCTCGAATCACCATCTCACTCCCCTGGTACCGGATCTCCGTCCTACACTTCACCTCAAAACTCCAATAAACCTCACCGCATGAAGCTCGACGTACCTCGCTTCAATGGAACAAATGCCTTGGGTTGGATCTTCAAGATCAACCAATTTTTTTAGTATCACGATACGCCAGAATCAGAACAACTGACAGTTGCATCGTTCTACATGGAAGGACCAACTCTCGGCTGGTTTCAATGCATGTCTCGCAACGGCCAGCTTACTATTTGGGCGACATTGTTGCACGCACTCAAGGCTCTTTTTTCTCCGTCACAGTACGACGATCCAAGGGCGCACTGTTAAAACTCACTCAAAAAGGGTCGGTCAACGACTACTTAACGGAGTTTGAGACACTTGCAAACCGTATCGTGGGTCTCCCACCGTGTTTCCTCTTAAGCTGCTTCGTCTTAGGGCTTGCATCGGACGTCCTCCGAGAGGTTCAGGCGCTACAACCACTATCTCTCATCCAAGAGGCTTCTTTAGCTAGGTTGCAGGAAGAGAAACTCCATGAAGCTCGCAGATCTGCTCGCCACAAAGGTATACTTCCCACCCCTGTTGCGTCCCCTGGCCGTTTTCCAAACAACCCCAAACCATCCTTACCACATTTCAAACGTCTAATACCTACAGAGATGTCTCTTCGCCGTGAGAAGGGGTTTTGTTTTAACTGTGATGAGAAGTTTAGTCTAGGTCATAAATGTGCGTCAAATTTTTTTATTCTTATTATGGAAGAAGATGAGTCACATGAGGCAAATGCGATTCTGACTCCTTCTGAATTTGAGTCGTTACTTGAACCGAAACCCGACCCGACTCTTAACCAAGCCCAAATAAGTTTCCATGCCCTTTCGGGCCACTTGGCTCCTGAAACTCCGCGTCTGGTGGGCCGCATCTGCACCCACAATGCGGTTATCCTAGTTGATGGTGGCAGTACCCACAACTTTATTCAAGAAAGGCTGGTTAAATCCCTTGGGCTGAAGGCCCAATCCACTTGTTCTCTCAAGGTCATGGTAGGTAATGGTAATGAAATTGAGTGCCACCAAATTT